TTAATGCTGGGGATATGCTCCAGGAAAGCCAGGCTTAGAGATGGGGATATGCTCCAGGAAAGCCAAGGCTGGGCTTAGAGCTGGGGACACACTCCAGGCTTAATGCTGGGGACATGCTCAGCAGGAAGGCCGGGCTTAGAGATGGGGACACGCTCCAGGAAGGCCAAGGCCAGGCTTAATGTTGGGGACATGGTCCAGGAAGGCCGGGCTTAGAGATGGGGATATGCTCCAGAAAGGTCAAGGCCAGGCTTAGAGCTGGGGACACGCTCCAGGAAGGCAAGACTTAGCCTGGGGACATGCTCCAGGAAGGCCAAGGCCAGGCTTAAAGCTGGGGACACACTCCAGGAAGACCAGGCTTCGAGGTCTCAGGGAGATGAGACACCACCTCACCATTGTCCTCGAGTGTTTCCACTTGGTCAGTTTGTTGAGGATCCTCAGCAGGTTGATGCAGGAGAACAGGTTCCTCCAGCAGAACTGGTTGTTGTCTCCAGCTTCCTGCAACGGGAGAAGGAGAAGGGTGACTAAGGGTGACCAAGAGCAAGTGTTCAGCAGCCCCACCAGAGGGGTCATCATGTACAAAGTCTGTGTTTTTACTGCCTGCACAAGTTTTATTCCTGCTCCTCACTGGATTTATCCTCCCTGCAGATGTTCCAGCAGAAGGAGCTCTGCTGAATGGTGGATTCTGGGAATCACCAGCAGGAAAGCGAGGAAAGCCAGCGGGACAGGAGCTGGGCCTTCTGGTCAGGGATGTTTTGGCCTCCCCTGAGAACAATCTGTTTGGGGATGGTGACACCAAACAGAATCCCAGGATCCCTGAGGCTGGAAAAGCCCTCCCAGCCCATGGATCCACCCTGGGCCCCATCCCCACCTTGTCCCCCAGCCCAGAGCACTGAGTGCCACGGCCAGGCCTTCCTGGGACACCTCCAGGGCTGGGCACTCCAAACCTCCCTGGGCAGCCCCTGCCAAGGCCTTACCACCCTTCCCAGCAACAAATTCCTCCTGGAGCTGCTCAGTTCATTGAGCTGGTCAAATGTCACTGTACATATCATTTTTGAGGCCAACAAGGACGTGCTCCTGACTGAGTTTATTTAACTCTGGGATTAAAAAAGCCACTCTGAGCAAACGCACTTTTGTGCCAGCAGAGGCTGTGCAGAGGTGGGGTGTCACCAGGACATCACTTGGATGTCACCAAGGTGTTTGTGGGTGCTGGGTGCTGCTCTGGGGGTGCCAGCTCAGCAGGAGTGCCCAGGACTAACCTGCTCCCTCCACACCAAGGAATTTTTCCAGAGTGAGCCAATATCCATTTCTTACACAGATGGATTTATTTGTCACCAACCTGATGTTGTCTCTAAAGCTTCAATAGGGGAAAGTCTTTCCATCAGGTTTATGGGAGGAGGAAACAGGTTCAACAGGCTGGAATCCTGGTTTTAAGGGGTGAATTGAGTCCTCTGCAGGCCCTTCCCAAACACAGGGGGACTGGCAAGGAATCCAAGAGCCTTTCCCACACCAGGATGGGGGAATCCCCCAGTACCTGGTTGGGATTGCAGCCACTCCTGATCTACACTGTGTGGGGAACAGCAGTTACCCCACAGGTCCCTCTTTGGGGACAGCACTGCTGAAATCCCGGGAATAAACCTCCCCCGGAATAAACCTCCCCGGGAATAAACCGCAGGCACACATCGCTCTGCTGGGCCCCCAGAGCAGAATCCTCTGTCACCAGGACTGTGGCACTCGGGGATGTTCCAGGGTGCTAAAATAAGACACTAACATTTGCCTCAAGCAGCAGGGAATGTCTAATTCCCAATAAACCCTCACTTCCATGGGGATCCTTGGGTAAAATCCATTTGATTCCTGCTTATTTTCTGATTAAATCCATCTCCCGCGAGGAAAACATCCGTGTCTGCTGGAGGACAGCAACCTGCAACGGCTCCCAAACTGAGGACCAGGCCCTAGGGGGAATATTTTCCCTAAAAAACCCTCAGTTTTCTCCTAGAGGCTTTTTAAAGCTTGTTGTGAGGATTAGTGTGAGGCAGGGGAGCCCTCGGCGACCTGTCACTAGATGTCCCCATTGATCCAGGATCCGGCACCAGGACTCCCAACCCTCAGCAACCCCCGGACCTGGGAAAAAAAAAAACACCTTTCTCTCTGACGATTTTAACCTTTACACAGCAAAGGAAAACAACGCAGGGTTATGATTTTAGCAGCCAGGCAGCGTTAGATCATCTCATCAACCCAGCCTGGGTTTGCTCAGGCTCCTTCTTAATGATTCCTGCACCATTTAAGGGCTCCAATCCCTGTTAACCCCAAAGCTTTTCCCTGCTCCGTGCCCTGTCTGAGTCCCACTCTGCCTTTGAGTTATTGCAGTTATGAACCCGCCACAATCAATGTCTCCTCTGCAGTCTGTGTGCTTGGATATGGTCTCCATAATACTTAAGGCTCCTCTCCAGAGGGAATTGGGTTCATTCCTTTATCTGCTTGGAGGTACCTCATGAAACACGAGTGCTCAGAGCAATTTAAACCAGAGCAATTTAAGCCTTTCTTAAAGCAGGAGAGTCTTGTCTCCACAGCACAAGGGGAAACGGCCTCAGGTTGGGCCAGGGGAGGGTCAGGTTGGGGCTGAGGAGGAATTTGTTGCTGGAAAGGGTGGTGAGGCCTTGGCAGGGGCTGCCCAGGGAGGTTTGGAGTGCCCATCCCTGGAGGTGTCCCAGGAAGGCCTGGCCGTGGCACTCAGTGCTCTGGGCTGGGGGACAAGGTGGGGATGGGGCCCGGGGTGGATCCATGGGCTGGGAGGGCTTTTCCAACCTCAGGGATGCTGGGATTCTATTCCCTGAAAGGAAAAACTCTGAACCCACCTATTTTTATGGGGTTCCCAACACCAGCAGTGCCTCCTCCCTCCCCACCTCCCACAGCAGCTCGGGGGCAGCGACGGGAAGAACTTTCACGTCAGGAGGGGGAAAAAAAAAAGGTCTAATTTTGGAGAGGTTTGGGATGAAGAGAAAAGAAATCAGAGGAAAGAAACCCAAAATCCTTCCCCAGCCTTTCACATCCAGCAATAGTGGCCCCAGGGCCCCTTTCTGTGCTTACCAGGCTCTCTGCCGTGAGCTCGGGCAAGTCATGGACCGTGCAGTGAGGATAATCCAGGACGGAGACGCTGCGGAAAACAGGGAAGCAGGGAATCATTAAGCACAGGAAAACAACTTCTGAAGATGATCCACATGATTACACCCAGCAACCTGTCAAATCTTCCTTTCCCGTGCCCGGGGTTTGAATTCCAACGGCGGCGCTGCCTCATGGAATGAGGAATTTGGGTTGGGATAAATCCCTTCTCCGGCACCGATGGGTTTCCCTCCTGCATTTCCAACGGCACAAACGGCATCCAAACGGGATCCCAACCTCACCACTGCCTCCCCTCACAGCTTCCATGGAGCACAGGGATCCCCCTTGGCTCCCAGGAGCATCCTGAGGGCGTTCATAAGGACTCCAAGGATTTGGATCCATGAAGACAGGATGGATGGGCTATTCGTGGCATGTTTAAAAAGGGATATAAACTCCAAATATACAAAATAAACCATACAAAAAACCCCCCAAGATAGATCTGAGGTTAAAATCCATCAGGTTAAAATGGAGACATCTGAGTGGCAGCAGGAAAATTCACAGTGGGGGTGTCAGGTCTTTGGGAGCCCTCCAGGCATGTGGACTTTGGAAAAGGAGTCAGTGAACACCCCAAAAGTACAAATTTATATATAATTTAAATAATTTGCCACAAGGCATCGCGGTTTTGCCATCACCTCTGATGTTTCCCTTTGCAGCATCTCTGGACTGGGGTCTGTGCACTGGAATGGGACAAAACCCACATCTGGAGTGGGGACTGTGCATTGGAATGGGACCAAATCCCACATCTGGAGTGGGGTCTGTGCATTG